AACTTTATTTATGGCTCTTCTCTTCTTGTAAGATAGGTAGGAGATCCTCTTCTCGTGGTCTTACATGTCTTTGAGTAAACTATGAAGCCGCCATCTGTTTTGTTTAATTTATTTGTAAATTTTGAATGATTAGTACATGGTTGTGTCGTTATGTACTTGAATTATTAAATTATGCATAAACAGCGAAACACTTGTTTTTTTCTTTTCTATAATTGAAGCTTGCAAGAGATAGACGAGTGAAGCTGGGGGATACTTGAGGTGGGGTGGTTCTCCATTGCTTGTTTAATCACATGTGATTCTGTTTGCTATTGGCCTCTATTTGCAGTTGCAAATGCTGCAGCTAATCTATTCATATTCTTCTAATTAAGTCGGCCTCTATTTGCAATTGTAAATGTTGCTGTTGAGACATGCAAAGGCATTCAAACTCTTATAAATACAAGCGACTATATTTCGGAGGCAGTGCATGTTGGAATCGTTAGGCTTCTGGAAATAAAAAATGCTAGGCTGATTCTATTGGTTTTGGATTTACATCTCTTTGTAAAGTATTTGGTGTTTGTGTGCCTGATTTGGAGCTTGGTTGTCAAAATTCTTTCAAAAAGACGTTTTTCTAATCAAGGTTGATTTTTCATTTCACTAATCTTGTCTTCCATCAGGACATCTCATCATGTGGTCCTGTTGCCAACTGTCGCATTTTATTATATCTTGAGTATTTTACCAATTGTGATATCTGTGCTTACTTCAAAATCCTTACTGTTGCTAACTTCTTTATTTGATTGCAGGCAATATTATTACCCTTTTTGCTGGTTTGGACTATCCTCTAAAGCGTTCACTAGTGGATCTTAGAGTAAAAAAACTTGCATATGTTTGTCTTCAAGCAATCTTCCATAATAGGTGAGTCAAATTCATACCACTAATAGATTGAATAACCACTTTGAACATGCTTTGGTTTGCCTTTTCTAGTTCTCATGGTGCGTGCAACATGTTGTGTTGCTTGATGAATTATGTCTTCTATTTGATGTAGAAAAAATATATGGAAACTTGGTTGGTTCAGCACCCATCCGAGTTCTGACATTGCATAAAAAATAAATGTAATTCGGTGACCTAGCAGTTTCTAGTCAATGTTTGAGCTCTTCAATTTGGTTATGCATACAATATAACAACCATGTCTATCATGAACTCCTATGGCATGACATTGATCCTTTCAGGATATTCCGATCTGTATATGTATTATGCAACATGTGGCTTTTTTACATTCTGCTGGATTTTGGAAAAAAAAAGAGTGTTGGTGAATTCATCCAAGTTTCCGCTGTCATCAGTTAATTATTTTTTTCAGGATCATTGGATTTGTATATATATTTTTCAATGTGTGGAATCTCCAGATTCTGGTAGATTAAAAGAAAAGCTTTTTTAGTAAATTGGAAGGAATCGAACCACATAATCGATTTTTAGTGCTGGCTCTGAATTAGTTATGGTACCCAAGGTTGCTTGGTGGTAGATAATGGAGGTGCAAGGATTTATCAGGGAACAAGACAAATTATGAAGTTGGTTCTCAGTTGAGGGAGAGGAAGCAAATGCTTTTTAGAAGCATAAGTACATTAGTGAAGAGAATTACCATGTTAAGGAAGTTTCATGAATTCGATTACTACTGCAATATGCAAGGAAACAAAAGAGGTGATTCAAAGTCCTTTTGGATAGTGAAGGATGGTTTTAGTTGTCTGCTTGTGTGAGTTCTTGAATGATTGGACTGGCATGACAATTCTTTTGGTAGTTTTGTTCGCAAATATTCTTTCAGTTTAATCTTGGAAGACAAGTTTCCATCTTCTGTTTTTTATATTAATATCAATGTTCGCTTAGTTATAGTTTGGCTGAGGTTTATAGCCCAAAAGCATTGTTATTATATTCGGCATATTGGATTTAATTTTTTTTGACTTTCTTTCTCTTTTTTTGTCCCTCAAGTTCAGCAAAGAAGATGACTTGTGGCAAGGATATCATAAACTTCATGTCTTATGCTGCTTTTCTAGAAAATCAATATATGTTTGCCATAACCTTAAAATTTTTGGATGGT